GTCCTCGGTGGTGCACTGTATCACTCACGTATTCACTGTTTCGCGGTTAATGCGTAACTGATTTTCGCGTGACGCTGACCCCCCTAATCACGCCTACCAATCGATCGGGTGTCGTTTGGTGGATCCCGCTGCCGTATGCCGGGCGAAGTCCTTCGCGAGGGAATAAATTCAATTTTGAATTAATTCCCCATTCCTAAAATTAATCTATCACCCTCATTTCTGGGATAACGACTGATTTTATCCCAAGCGGCCTTCCACCCCTAATCAGTCTTGACAATCCGCCGGAGTAATTATTACTTTTGCCCCGTACGGCCTTCCACCCGCACCCATTAATCCCCAGAAACCCTTTTTCTTGGAACGCCGGCTTTTTCGCTGGACCTAACCCGATCCCGAGGGCTTACCCTATCCTTCTCCTAAAATCCCCTAACCCTGAACCTAATTACCCCTAAGTCAGCCCAAAGGGGAGAGTCCTAATTTCGCCCTAAACCTAACCCGTACTCGAATTATCTCACGCTCACTCTCAAAGTTTTTCTTGGGGATTCTAACAGGCATCCCCGATGCTCGTTACAGGATATATCATATTTTTGGGGTTCTCCGGAATCCACTGCGAAGACGAAAGTCCAAGAGATCGCCCCCTCCATCCCTCCCTTTATTTCTACAACCGTACGTCAGAAAAACACAGCAATAACATTTACACTATTCTATCGGACACTTTTTCCATCTCTATCCCTAGTTTTTATTTTGGACTTTTTACTATTCTGTATTTTAAGTGGAGCGTAATAAGTTGAAAATCTATTTAAAGAGAAACGTAAGTGTGTCTTTCTCTTTATGTGCTAATTCCTCATTTAATAACCATTGTGTATTTCAGTACTTAGTTCCACGCAATAGGCCCCACCAAGTAAGATTTATGCGATTCTTTCTCCTCCGGACACCACCTGACGTCACTTGTTACGGTTAACTGACCTGAGAGGCTCACCTTTTATTCCATATTGCAACCTACTTAGTGACCCAGTGACTGCTATACCACTGTCAACTGTTGAAAATTCATCCATTTACAGTTAACCACAAAAATGAAAATTACTCCTGAAAAATATAAAAATAATTAGCTGCAGAAAGTGATCGAGCAAAAGTAATAGACAAATGTTCACAGATTGAATAATGTGTGATCTGGCCAAGAGTGGGCAAAACTTATAAAATAAACCTTACATTCATAATTTATTAATTACCTCAGTGCCTCAGTGCACAATCAAGACTCGAAGTGAACATGCGGCTCGCAGAAATCATCAGTATGGGCAATGACCCCATGGTGTTCGTGAAATTCTTACGTGATAAAAAAGTGTTGGCAAGTGAGATGAAGTGTCCAAAATGTGGAGAAATGATGAAGTCATATGATCAGAAGATGATGTTCCGGTGCATGAAGTGGAGACTCAATGAAGACCCCAGCAAGAAAGTGAAGAAAAGCAAATGTGACACGAAGAAAAGCTACCTTCACGGATCCTGGTTTTCCGAAATACACATCCCCTTGGCAATAGCCATGCGATTCATCGGTATGTACGTTCTAATGAATCCCCCATGGCAAGAATTATTTGAGTTCGAACTTGGGTTATCATGACAAACCCTGGTGGACTGGTCGAACTTCACCAGAGAATTAATGATAGATTGGTGCGAGGACCATGCCACCAGGTCAGGGGGACCTAACAGGGTTGTGGAAATCGACGAAACGAAGATCGGCCATAGGAAGTACCACCGAGGACGCATTGTAGAGGGGCAATGGGTGTTTGGGGCGTATGAGAGAGGGAGTAAATCTCTCCTCATCACCACTGTCAAGGACCGGAAGGCGGGAGCCCTTGTTGAGATCATCAAAGAGCGGATTCTGCCCAGAACAACAATCATCTCAGACTAATGGCGTTCATACATCAACCTAGAACATGAAGGATTTCGGCACCTCACTGTGAACCACTCAATCAATTTTGTGGACCCTGTGACAACAGCACATACCCAAAACATTGAGAGATCATGGAGAGACCTCAAGGACCATCTCCAGAGGTACAGCACCAAGGACGAACATTACCACGTATATCTGTGTGAGTACATGTTCAAACGCAGTGATGATTTTGACAACAGACTAGACGAGTTTTTAAAAACAATGTCCAAACACTACACAGCCTTGTGAGTAACAGCCGGGAGTTATAGATCCGTTGGTGGTCACTTCTTCCACCGCGCGGTGACAACCAGGGTGTTGAGCCGTTGGTGGACCCGTCGCGACATTTTCTATATAAACAAATGTAAATATACATAGTTTATATTATTAAAATTTATATTAAATGCTGCAGGTGGGCAGTGCAGATTGTAGCGATGAGTAAAACGGCCCATATCAACACTGGCATGGCCCGGAGTGCGGTGAAAGGGGGGGACCAACAACGGATCGATAGTGATTATATAGCCTTTTTCTTGTCCCTTGTCTTTAAATGTACCAACATGTGTTGTCTTCGGGGCCGACAACCGCCACGTCCACGCCGTGGCCCTGGGTAATGCAAAGAGCGGTATATAAGTGCGCGTAACTTCCAAAATTTTCAGAAGCTAAATTTGGAAGATTCGAAAACGTCAGGAAAAAAGCTATAAAACCATCTATAATACATCAAAATCGGGACGGCGGCCCTTTTCTAGACATTTACCATAAATTTTCCTATACAGTACAATTCTTATCAAAATACTTATTAGCTCCTTCACCGTTTCTCCTTCTTTAACACGAGCAGATCTGACTACTGAAATTGAAGACAGCGTCAGCCTTCACACTCTTTGACTACATAGTTTAGTGCTTCCAAAATGTCACTCCATACGATTGCAATTATCCTCCGGGTCCGTCTGACAAAACTCTATCCTGGGACAGTCCTCCAACAACTGATGATATTCCCCTGGTATGGAAAAGATTCTACCTCGATATACGAACTTCTCCAGATTTTCCAGATTCTCGATTCAGATTAATCAATTAGGGAGTTCTTCGAGTTTTTCAACTTGAGTAACTATTAGAAAAACAAGATGAACAAAATTTTTTATCTCGATCAACTACTCATAGTTAATTAGAAGGGATGAATACCTAGAAATTACAATTATAATGAAATGGGCATCAAATCAGTTGTTGAAATTACCAGTGAAATCCCGGAGGAATTGTTAGTTCATTTGATATACTAATTAAGCATGTCGTATGATAGTGATCAACAGTATGGCACATGACCGCCGATTTAGGGAATCAATCAATAAAACAAGTGAGACTCTTTCCTTTGTAGAACTTAGTAACAAATGTGTAATGTAACAGATGATTATTGGAATACACAAAAAATGAATATGAGAAGCCCTGTTCCGGCCCGCCCTTCCGCCGCCGAACGACAATCCTATAAAATTAAAGGAGAGAGAGAGAGAGAATAAAATTGACACTCCGCATGAAGTTCGGGCAGGTCAAGCGCAATCCGTATTCATCCGAAATCGCCAAGTTGGTGACAGGTTAAGGGACTTTAAACGTTTAAAAATTATTAGATATTAGAAATTGGGTTAAGGCATCACGCAATCTCATGCAATCCGGGAGAAAGCGATAATAAATGTCTTGAATGTCAGTTAGGATGATTAATAATGAAGTTATGGATTAAAACGATACAGTTCGGCGTCCATTGTATATTTAAATTCGCCGCCGAAAAATCGCCCAGGGCGCCACATCTCAAATCCAAGCCGACGGCAGCCAAATCAAAGAGTGTCTAATATTCGGCGGTGAGTAATCCACTTCTTACACTCGTCCAGCAGTAGTTCGTGACTTTCCGTTTCTTTGCGTGATTTTGCGTCTCGGTATTTTTAAGGGTTAGAGTTCAGCCCCATAATTTTACCTTTACCGACGATCAACGTGGTTTCTCTTTCTTTCTTTGTTTTATCTACCCGGCCTTTCTCACGAGCGAATCCCAGAAAATTATCCATTTTCACGGCGGACTTGAATGAAATACGGCATTTCTCAGATTATCGCAAAGAGATAATCCTCATACCACATTCCAACGGTAATACTCACGGGCAATTATGCGTAACTTTATGTAAAATGTAAATCTAGACGAGAAGGACATTTCCGATCTTCCGATTACACCAATTTCATGGAATGAAGCAGAATTGTCTAAAAAATGAGCCTCAACATTTTAATACAAAACTAATTTCAAAACAGAGAGATCTGAATTCCATTCTGGTTTGAAGAGACTTTTATATCTTGTTTCGAATGAATGGCCCCTCTCCAGAATAGATCAATGAACGAAAGTATCCTAAATTGTGACAAATTCAGTTCATACTTTTCGACCATTCCACCGTGAATCACACAGAGTTAATCCAGCAATATATTATTAATTTAGTCATAGTAGGTTGTCATAATGGTTAGCGAATTCTCCATTTAATCTGGACTTATTTTGGAGTTATTTTTTTCTAAGAAGTGGAGGACTAATAGCTACTAATAGGCATTGTCGTCATCTGTTTTTTTAACCGTTCTGCATTTGTTTTCTTATTGCACTACCTTCAAGGAATAGAAATTAAGGTACTAAAGTGGTATAAAGAGAAGCAGGTAGTGATGAATAACCGTCCATAAAATGATCACAACAAGTTATGAAAATAGAGTGACTATATTAGTAAACCGCAGCACTTGTTTTTGCATGGCATTCTCCAATACCTCAACGAAGAAACTAAGGAGATATTTTTCTAACCGCCTTCACCACGTACGTCGCTGACATGGCAAAAGATAATTTCATGCCGATTCTCTATTTCGTTTTTCCCGAGAAACAAATCATCTTACCTACTGATTTTGCGTAATTGTCTGTGTTTATGGCTATAGTCTACTCCTATATTCCAATTTTGTGTATTGTACACGCAACCAGACCTAAGTAGCTTCTTGTCTCATTTAATATTGAACGAACATTTTACTTGGGTCTCTGTTCTTCACTTCTGATAGTTTCTTATCATACGTTCAGTTGATTTTTGTTCTTTAAACCATTCCGATTATTTAAAGCTGAAATGAATGTATTACCATTTAGTTTTGGTCTCTTCACATTCTGTGGCGTATGGCGACCATTAAGTTGGTCGACCGGGTTGAAGAAGTGTATTTATGACTGTTACAGTGTTTTTGTTGTCTCCTGTCTTTATTCTTACTGCTTAATGGAATTTGCAGATACGATTCGCTCATTGAGTGAAATTAGTGAATTCATTAATGCATCATTCATGCTCGTATCTGTAATTAACACGTCTTGTAAGACAGCCAATTTGTTTATAAAAAGGAATCAGCTTATACAATTATTGTCAATTCTTGATAATAATTTATGTCGGAGCCGTGGAACAGAAGAGAGAGCTATTCAAGAAGAATGCAATCGTCGTGTTAAGTATGTTCTGTTATTTTTGTAGTACAAAAATACCATTCACGAATGCCATATAAGCAGTGAAATGAAACTTCCCGTTCACATCATATTTGTGAGAAATTTTAGAACATGATGAAGTTGAAGCTACGGTTTGTTCTTTTCAAATACAAGTTGATTTAGGTAAACCAGATTAATTTACGATCAAATAAAACGTGATGAAGTTGGATTGAAAACCGCTGTTGAAATTCTATATGGAAAGTATTAATAACAGTGATGGGGGAAATAATGATGATGAAGTAATTTCCAGTAATTAAAAATACCTTCTAGAATGACAATTCGTTGTCATGCCCCAGAAATACCTAACAATTAAGAAAGACCATTAAACAATTAATCATTGATCTGGATCAGGCATGTGCAGCCTCTGCTATGAGAGCAAGTTGTGCTCCCAACCTCTATTAGTGCGTAACAAAGGGTACACGAGAGCCCATTGTATCAGGTGATGGGCCTGATCCACCAGGGTCGTAAAGGCCCTTCTCCTACTCTGAAATCAAACGAAGTGGGGGTAACCATTTAGAAAAGGAAAAGAGGAGAAATTACACAGAAATGAAAAAGCGGGGAAATACGTCGAAAATTTGAAAATTTTCCTTTTTCATTCGCATCACGTTTTTATTTATTTTCAAAGCTGATGTTATTAATATAATGTCAAAAAAAGCCTGTTAAATTTCAGAGGCGACGAACAAATTTGATAATGTCATGTTCCAATGCTCCCGCAATCATTTATTCCAGAAATAAAATTGATTCCCACAGTGATGGACTATTTATGGAATGCTTACTTTTGTTGAAATTTCATCGTTTTAGTTGAAATGCCTTAAAATTTGATATAAAATTATGACAAAATAGAGGGAAAATTATTGGAGGGCGCTGAAAGAGCGATATCAATTAAAGGGAGCTGCCAACTTTACTAACAAATAATAAAAGAACCACGTAGCATTCCCTATAACTTTCCTTCAATCCAGTGGAGGCTTTCGTACGTATTTTTGAAATTATTTTCGAGTAAACTTGGTAGATTCATTTTAATTAATATTGCTCTGTACCGCCCTTCAATCATTTTTTTTGACGGAATACGCCCACCGGTTTCCTGTGGTTTCCATTGAGCAGCATTGAAGTTCGCCAAAAATGGGCAAAAATATATTTAAAAAAAAACTAACTTCGCAGAATTTAATTAATCCATAGAGATGATCAAATCAAGCGCATTCGTCTTCCAAATTTCATTCAGGTTTCAACAAAACAGGTGTAAGAATTTCAACGAATCCACACATGATTCTATTCAGAAAATATTTTTGTTCAGGTTTGGATTTTTTTATTTTTTATTAATCGCGGCGGCTATTTTTCTTGCTTTACCATTTGGCAGATGTTTCATGGGACGTTCCTCGATACTTTAACCATGAGGTTGCCCACTACTGTCCCCACTATGATCCTACTAGGACTCTTATAATTGGCATGATTATAAACTTTATTGAATTTCTAATTCGAGTTTATGACTCTGCTCCGAGCTACCTGGAGGTTGCCCGTATCTGATCTGGATAATATGAGAACACTTAAAGTGGCACATATTATCCACAAACATGGTATATTGAACCAGAGACAATGTTATAACGTAAAATGATGAAATATAAACTGACCCGAATAATCGTTGATAATCTTAACGTATATTCGTCATAATGTGGCTCATTAGGGTGCAGAATCGGCACTTCATGCCGCCAATGGCTACGGCACCTGGGAAGTCATCCGATGCGTCTCCAGGTGTAAAACAACGAGAAAACACTCGTTGCAATCGAATCCACGATGAAATATAAACTCGTGAATTCGTTGCCACGGGGTCAGCTCGTCAGACGAAGTCAATTAGTAATACGACGAGTTATTAAGTAACCTTCTTGTAACTTATAATACCTAATATCTACGGACTCAGACAAAAACTTTATTTGTTTAAATAAATCGTTTAATTGCTGAAGGAGTTGATTCTCTCTGAGACATATTCATTTCGAATGATCGAAGTGATCTGTCTCTATCAACGAACTCGTCGGCTCGGGTTCATTATATCGTGGTCAGGTCTCATGACTTACCTTACCTACAAAGGCGTCATTCCTGTTCCCATGATTTCTCAAAAGATACCGATCAGTACGGCCTAACTGATAAGCGAGCGTTTAAAGCAGTCATGATTGTGAAGAATTAAGGGAAAGTGTGTTTAGATTGTGCTTTGTGTGTAACGGGATTTTTGGAAATCCCGCACATTAAACTAAATTTTGGGTCAAGTTCTCTAAAATTCTGCCACCTCGACTCTCTCCCGGGAATTACTCGAATCGTCGAGGGATGTGGGGACTGGGGCCCAAGTACTTAGGGTGTTGGGAAGCCTAAAGACAGACAACAGCACAGGGCGGACACGTGGAATCATTCCCAGCTCCCCTACGAGACTTGCTGGCATATAGCATAGGACTCATACTGGCGTATGAGCGCTCCATGTTAGATGGGGTGGGCATTCGAGCGGCTGATCCTTCGAAGGGGTTGTTCGAAGGGGTCAGTGGCGACATTCGAATTCGGCCTGCTCCAGGAGAGGCTAATGCCAGGGATATCCTACCTGCGGCGAGGGCAGCACGTCCCGGCACACGGCAGTTCACCCAGCCGTAGTCGAGACTACGGGGGCATCGGCACTACTGCCGACACTGCCCACTCACTCGGCAGAGCCGCTTCGGCTGGCTCCCAGTGCGGACCACTGGCAGCTACCTTCTGAGCCCTTAGGAGGCTCCCAATGCCCTGCATTGGTCTTCGTCGTTCCCTAGGCGAGGGTTATCCTCTCCCTGGTAACACTCTCTGAGTGAGAGCAATACTCTCCTCGAGTGGTGTCCTCTAGGTGAGAGCCATATCCCCGCCGGTGGCGTTCTCTGGGTGAGAGCCATCCTCTCCCTCGGTAAGTTCTCTATATTTGGGGCTATCCTAGTGGGCCCGTCACGCTCTCGATAGTGTGCAAATGGGGAGAGTTAATCCCCACGCTCTCGGCCTACCGGCACTCCGCTATCTTCTGTCGCGCTCTCAGCGAGGTAGTTCTATAGGTTGCCCTCCGCGACTCGGATTCCCGCAAGTATGCTCTCGGTGTCCCGAGTCTAGTCTCGCAACTTTCTTTATTTTATGGTTCGGTTATTGAACTCGCGTATCTGTGGACCCCGGCCCTCTTTCCATGACCTAGCATCCTGAGCGACCCCAGGTCTTCCCGCTTCCGTTCCCTTCGTCATCGGCTTCAGCCTCTTGCCGGTAGTTTTACGATCACACCCCGGCTGGTGTGGTTCACGGGTTTGGTTTTACGGATTTAGGATTTTGTGTTGTCGCGAGGACGAGTTGCAACCCCCCTCGTCCTGGCCCTTCGTGCTTTTGTTTTTCGGATTTAGGACACTTCTCGGGAATTGGGAGGTTTACGGACCTCGCGTGAGGCATCCGCCCTGCCTCACCCTCCTTCCGGTTCGTACGGTTTTCGTTAGCTTTTGGCCCTTAAAAAGTTAGGTGGTGCCCACATTAACTTGGTTGGATGTTTAGGATGTGAGCATGGGAACGGGTGAAGGTAATAACTATCCGGCACGAGGTCCGGGAAAAGTGTTACAGTGTTTGCCGGGATTTATCACGTGGAAAGAGAAAGCGTTTAGAAAATGTGCTGAGAAAAGTTTAGAGGACATTCTTGATGGTCTCGCGATTTATTTCCAGTTACAGCTCCAATAGACATCGATGAAATCCCACCACATTCTATTATAATATATGAAAACTGCATTAGTGTAGGTGATTGTATTTCTCGTGGAGTCTGAGAATCAATCATGGAAGTGAGAATCTCAAACATCCACCAATCTGAAAGAACCCACCAAAAACTTGTCAGAGGATTTCCCCTGGATACTTTCTGGAAGAATTCTCGAATGATCTAGTCTCTATGCACCTTAATCAGTTATCAAGCAGATTTGCTTGGAAAACCCCATATGAAATGATCATGAAGAAATTTCTGCTACTCCGAGGAATTTCGGTGGCGGGACTCACAAAGTCGAGTCAGTATCAGCAGTACCTGGCAGAATGACTGAAGTCCCCCAACGTCCGAGTCGATTTCTTTTCATCGGTTCGGCTCAAAATACATCAATGATTAATCCTTCCATCAGGGCCATTAACGGTCATCAATTTGCAAAAATTAAATGAATTAATTTGAATTTTGCCAACGTTTCGCACACTATGTGTATTCCTCATCAAGGCAATATTTATTTCTGTTAAAAATTAAAATACAAAACTAATTAATCATATTGTAAGCTATTATTAATTATCCATTTAAAATAGAGATTCAAAAGCGAAATACCTGTTGCTATCAATATGGAACAGAAGAAACTGACATACATTAGCACTAGGGTACAAAAACAAAATATCACTATAATACGTCAACAGACATTCATGGCGCCAAACATATTTTCTTTCAAAAAACTACAAAGACATAAAACAGATGAACTAATTATAAATATTAATCAATCTATAATAACAGTTCCCTATTTTTTTACAATCATTAATAAAATTCACAGTCCTATTATTAAATTTTTTAATATAAAACATTTCTAGAATGTCTAAATTTTCTTTTCTATGAGCAGTTCCTAAAATTCTTGATTCATTAAAATTAAATCTATGACCGGTACTTTCAACATGAGCAGAAAGTCCTGAACGATATGTTTTCGGTTTTTCTTCACTATATTTATGAACCTGCACTCTATCTTTAAAATATCTTATCGTTTGTCCAATATATACTTTATCACAATCACTACCCGGAATTTTATAAACCACATGTGATTTCTTGTCCATCTCAATTTTATCCTTAGTTGTGCCAAACCTCCTTCCTACCTTATTTTTATTAGTTGAAATAACTCCAACGTCGAATTTAGAACAACATGATTTAAGATTACCAGTCAATTCAGATGAAAAAAAAAACTATTAGAGTCTTTTTAAAATTTATCAGA